CGATCGCATTTGACCAGTCCACCGGTTGACAGTCGACTTTTCAAGAAAATGTGAAATGAAAAAAACAGAAGTTCGAAAACTAATGTTCATAGGTTTGAAAATAAATCACAATTCAATTTTTTTTACAGATTTAAAACAAGTTCATGCACTTAAAAAAGCTCATGAGCTCAAAAAAAAGTTCACGGGATTCAATAAAGATCACAATTTGGAAAAAGTTGTCAAACTCGAAAAGATTCACAAGTTCAATAAAATCATGGGATTTGAAAAATCATGGATTTGTTGAAAGTTCATGAACTTGAAAAGGTTGACAAAGTCAAAAAAAAGTTTGTGGGATTCAAAAATAGTCCGTAACTTGAAAAAAGTTTGAACTCGAAAAAGTTCACGAGTTCAATAAATTTCATAAAATTTGGAAACTGTTCATGAATTTTGAAAAAAAAATCATGAATATGAAAAAACTTCATCAAGTTTGAAATAAAAAATCACGAGTTTGAAAGGTTCATCAGCTTTGAAAAAAAAGTTCATCAATCTGAAATAACTTCGCAAGATTTTTAAAATGTGTACATATTTGAAAAAATTAATAGATTTTAAGTAAATATAGTTCAAGAATTAAACTATGATTTTGAAGATGGTTTTAATTTGAAAAAGTTCGCGTACTTAAAAAAATAAAATCAAACAAGAGAACAAAGGAAACAAAAGTAGAAAAAAATAGTGGCACACAAATGAAATAAGAAAAGCAAAAGGGCACACGATGTTGGCTATCACAGTTTGTGTGGTACTATACTTCACTGTTGGAGTTTCAATCCCCTCGTCGCATAAATATATCTAAAGGTTAAGAAAAATGTAAATGGGCCAAGCCCAGAACAGAGGGGGAGAGGGAGGGGGTGCGCCAAGTGGCGTTAACATCATAAAACGGCGCCTAGAGCGCCAAATAGGAATTGGGCGCTAAGGTGCCGAGTAGGAGCTCCCCAATTGCCCTGGTAGTATTCGTGCGGCCTCTTTGTGGGCCTTAGAACGAGAAAAAATGCCTTCTCATTGTAAAAAAAGGGACATTCTGAGTGGACCTTTTCCAACTGGTATATTTTTGAAGTGAAAAAAGACACCACACATGGACACATGCCATGTGTCATGCTATTGACGGTGATATTACCTACAACTAAAAGGGCATATATCTCCTCCAGGAG